AAAGGTTTCCCAGCTTTTTCTTAGTCAACATTAGAGAGTTGTTCAAAAGATAAGGTATCTGTTAAAGGAGGTTTGTTATTGTCTTGCCTTTGCCTTCTCTTTCCTCCCTCAGGTGGGGGTGGAGGCAAGAAGGACAGTCACGCCTTCTTCCAAACTCCGGCACTGAATTAGGTTTAGGCGGGTTGAGTTTCTTGTGGCGTTGCCACCACCAGTTTCACATTTAAAAGGTTCTCCAATAAGCGCAGCTCCTTCCTCCTCCTTTTCAAGCCCTTGTGTACCTTAGGTCCAGTAGGTGCTTAGGATCCAATGCAGAACCCTGAGCTTGGCTGGAAATCTGAGAGCCCAAGTTCTGGTTTTGCCCCCTGAGCTGCAGCCCTGCCTGTGGGCTGGCATTTCCCAGGTAAGATCCAGTTACCAAAAAAGAGTCTGGGAGAGATGCCCTTTCTGCTTCCTGACCTCTGGTCCTCAGTTTCCTCAGCAGGAAAATGAAGTGTTGGATGGGATATATGTTCTTCGACTTAGGTTGGATACTAAATCCCCTTTGGAGCCGAATGGGAGTTGGAGGGTGGGCATGGTCAAATGATTTCATGATTAACCTTTATAATTCTGTTTCTTCTATCCTAACTTACGTTGGCACAAAAAAAATCAAGCCTCTGCAGTCTTGATCTTCCCTTAGAAAGAGTGAGAGAAAATCATCAGTCTCATTTTAAATAAAACCTCCTGCGTCCTTTGGTTAATATTCTGTGGTTTCAGGGAAGCGCACGGTGGCAGGTACAACCGTAGGGTCCCACCTCCCGTTCTAAGGGGACAGCTCCTGCCTGCACTGGGTCTTCCACTGATGTTTCTGCTCATCCTCCCAAGAAGCCGTTCACCTTCATTTTTAAGCCAGCTGGCCCTCCCTAATCTTATTCTTGGCGACCTTCCCTTTATTTCCACCTTGAGTCCTCCCCTCTTCCAGAATGGCTTCTCCTCCTGCTGAAAGGTGAGAGAGGCAAACATTTGACCCACAGTCTTGTTCTCTCATTTGTATGGAAGCTACTCTTCCTCTTCTCCAAATAAAGAGATGAGTTTCAGAGTGCACACCTTTCCTGTTGCTCTCTTTCTCCCTGGTTAACAGTTCAGGTTTTGCCTTCTGTTAAAGTTTAGGATGGCTCCTTTTTTTTCCCACCAACTGTAAGCTTAGGAAATGTCTTCTGGGTTCTGAACTAACCTTCCTTCTCCTGTTCTTTCCCACAGGTTTTTCAGAAATTAAAATTATTCTGTCTGAATATTCACTATGATAAAAACATAATTAGAAGGGAAAGCAAAATATTGGAAACCCCAAACCTTGGTTTCTCCACAAGTCATATGGAAATGATTAGTATTGCTATTTTCATTTATTAAGTTGGTAGATGCTGAACTAAAGGAATAATTTAAAAATCATATATAAATGATTAGATGAGAACACAACTGTCTTTCTGAAGGAAGGGCTAAAAAAGATATTCATACTTAGATGTAATGATACAGGTGGTTCTATAAATACTCTGAGACCTTGGACATCCTGTGGGTTTTATAAAGTCCTCTGAAGAACACTTATATCTTTATTTCTAGGGAGGGAAGGGCACTCTACTTGGGTTCTTCAATTTACTTAATTTTTGTTTCCCTTATGTAGGAAGTCAAAACACTGACCTCATTCCAAAACATCCAACAGCCCCCAAAATTCACCATCCCAAAGTTTAGACCCTGACTATGTTTGTCAAAAGTTTTGGGGAGGTGAGCTGTGTCATGAGAAGGAAGTTTGTGCTATTTTTAAATTGATTCAACTCATCATCAAAACATATCATACACATATCACACCAATGACACATACAGGCTGCATTGTAACATAGCATGTGTCATACATATATTCTCTCTCACTCATACACACACACTCGCTCTTCTTGTCCGGCTTTTGAAAAGGAAGGCAGCCAGAAGGCCAAGCCCAGTGATGTGAGTTGAAAAGGCTGTTAAAGTTTAAAAACCAAGTGTCCCTCTAGTTCTCAGCCTGGCTTTGAGACATGTGGGAGGGCTTCAAAGCCCCAGTGCCCCTCTTTCAGGCTCAGGCTTACAGTTGGTCCCCAAATGTTTACCAGCATGAAGATGCCTAACTTACAGGAAGCGGGAAATGGGTGTGAGGGGTGAGGGTGGGTGGGTGGGTAGGGAGTGGGAAGAAGAGGGTGGGGGGATATTCTCTTGATGTGGTTAGCCTGTCATTGACCTTGTTTGGGTATGGCAGGAGTTGAATGAGAAAACGAAAACATGTTTCATCTTGGGTACATTTCATCCTATTTTTTTTACTTTCTTTAGGAAATTTTTTTTTTCTTTTCTTAGGAAAAAAAAAATTTTTCCCAAGTGGAGTCCAGGTCTCCAGATTTGGTACTCAGTGTCCCTTCATTCTACAATAGTCCTTTCCCCATAGAGTCATCCAGCCGCCTACGTTGCAATTCCCAATCCACCCAGGGACTGGGAGAGGAAACAAACTGGCCCAGTAGCTGAAGCCGAATGAACATTGGCTGGTTGAACTGTTGTGATGATGCCATCCACCGGAATAGATGAGGATTTCTGAGAACAGAACTATCTGGCTCATTCATGATTTGCTGCCATTGTGAACACTTTTAATGAGAGGGCTCTGCCTGAGAAATGCTGATTAATAAAGATAACTGAGGTTCTTTTCGGTGTTCTAACTTGGGGGGAAATAATAGAGTGACTAAAAACGCACCAAGTTATTACTTAGAAACAAACCCTTTGAGACGTAAGATTCCAGACAGTGGCAGCCTCTGATAGCTGTCTCTGCACAGGTGTACTGCTGCCAGGGCCTCCCAGCTTTAGTCAGCACTAAAAGGTGCACTGCTCAGGCCCTCTGGGAGGACTGAGGGAGGTTCAGAGGTCAGTCCCTTTTATTCCACCTTAGTAGTTTTGTGCTGGACAATACCTAAATATTACAATATGGACATGTTCCTTTTATTTCTTCTTCCTTTTTTGTATCTTTCATTTTAAATGATGTTATTACCCATCCTTGACTACTATAATCACGGTCAAAAGTTGGTTTGGAGGGTCTTTGTCCCATCACTTTGAGACAAGAAGCAAACATGTGAAGGATTTTACATTCCAACACTCTGTCTGAAAATCTACTTTCCTTAAAGTTCTACCCGTGGCCTTGTCCAGCTCAGCTGGACACCTGGAACTAATTTTAGGGTTGCCTGGCTAAGCCCCACACTGGTATTTGAAGTTTGCGTCCTCCCTAGACTCAAGCCCATTTCACCACCTCTGAAGGTGAGTGCAGGCTGATATTAATTAACAGTGAGTTGATTCACTGGCATCTTCCAGTCATTAAAGCAAATATTTGGCTTAAAATAGCCCTCTTTCCACCTCAAATATCAAACGTTTTGCCTATTCCCTTACTCCATCCTGGTTGACTCACCAGCAGTTGCATGATGGTGTATGTGGCCTAAGAACAGAGTTTGATTCTAAAAGGGAAGTGAAATAGTCTTTACCATCTGCAAGTGAGACTGTTTGAACAGCAGGCCAGCCTTCAGTATGACTACATTGTTTTTCTGTCCATTGTGGTGCTGACTCAGCATCAGTTAATAAACCCTCTTGAGCAGGCTGGATTTCTCTTGTTTAATTATCAGCTTGGAGCTTTCTGAGGACTATTAGGAATTGTTCATTCGGTTTTCCACCCCTAGCATATCTGCCTTCTAAAAGTCCTGCTTCCTCTTGGTGTTAGCGTCCCCTCTGGCGTAACATGCAATCACAGGTGGGCCAAGCAGCAAGCAGGGAGTGTGTGCTAATCATGTCCCCTGGTGGGAATTTAATTGTTCTGTACTGAGAGAGATTGCAGCAGGACTTTAGACACCATTTCCTGGCAAATAATCTTTTGCCTCTCCCCCTCCCCCAAAAAAAATTCTAGAAAAGTTTTCTAAAAGAGAGAAATTTTAAAGATAAACGACATATTTTTAGGATTGAGTTGGGCTTTTGTTTTGCTTTGTTTCCTTTCTTCCTGTAAACAAATACTCAGATGTCCACTTCATTGTATGACTAAGTTGGTATCATTAAGTTGGAACTGGGTGTGTGTATGTGGGAGTGTGTGTGTGTGGGTGTGTATGCACACGTGTATTTAAAATGTTAGAAAAGACACTGCAGCCTAAGATTGAAGGAGAGATTATTCAAAAAACAAAACAAAACAAAACAAAAAAAAAACTACCTATGGTGAGGCAAGCAGGAAAAATGGAAGACCTGGATTTCAATGATCTAAATAATAATTTAAATGGAGTGTTTGCTATAAACATTGTTTCTCTGAATTAAAGGATTCCTTGCTGAAGGCACAAGACCATTGAAGGAAGTAAAGCATCTGGTTTGTTTTGTAATGAGAAGCAGGAATGCAAGGTCCACGCTCTTAATAATAAACAAACAGGACATTGTATGCCATCATCACAGGATGTCCTTCCTTCAACAGAGGACTGACTGGGCTGGAGGAAAAGCTGGCCGAGGCTCAGAATAAGCCCCACTAATTACTGCCTCTGACCGATTTCCACTTGTAGTGATCAGTTCAATATTCCTCTGAACTGTGAAACGATTAATGCTCTACGTTTTACTTACACTCCTGGGAAGTCTGCCTGTGGGTTCTGGGAGGAGAGGAAAAGAAAACAAACATTAATCTGTAGAATTATAACTTTTTCCTTTTTCCCTATTTAGTAAATAGTTAAAAGAGGAAAAGCTAGTTCTGCCAAGTTTGAACGTTAGCAGGAGAAATGGAATGTTGCAAGTTTTGGGGCGGGGGGGGGGTGGTGGTGCGGGGAAACGTGTGCTACATACACAACAGCTTGAGGACCAGACGGCTCCACTGTATTACATTAGCTGCAAAACAATTTAACCTGCTCTTTTGAAGTAAGAGTTGTGTCTTTTGTACCTGGGGATTTGAGCTGAGAAGTTACAAAATGTGTAGGTAAATTTTAAGTTTCTTTAAGGAAAGTGTGCCCCCTAATTCTGCCGCGCCAGGAAGGAGATCGATCTGGAGTGTTTAGAATACAATAGAGCCCAAGTAAGGTTAAGTGCTGTCAAAGGGAAGTAAGATTCCAAGTCAATGTTGAAATTCACTAAGCTCTCGGCGGCTGCGCTCGAAATCTGGGGGAAAGCCCTGGGCTTGGCCAGGTGGTTGGCCACGCCCCTATTCGGCCGAGTGGCTAAGGCAATCTGAAGCAGGGAGGGGAAACCAGACACACACAGTGCGCCGTGACACTAGGCCCTCCAGTGTTGCGGAGAGGCAAGAGCAGCGCGGAGAGGCGAGAGCACCTGTCCGCCCGGAGCTGGGACGCGGGCGCCGGGGCGGCCGGACGAAGCGAGAAGGGACCGCCGCCGAGGTGCGCGTCCGTGCGGCTCAGCCCAGCGGGGGACGCGGGGAGAATGTGGACTGGGTAGAGATGAGCGAGACTTTTCTCAGATGTTGGATATTTGCTTGGAAAAACGTGTGGGTACGACCTTGGTAAGGAACTTGAATTTTTTTTTTTTAATTCCGAAATTGATCTGAAAACTCTCTTTTCTTTTACTTTTTTTATTTTTTGCCAACGTAGTCGCAGTAGAAACATGTTTCTGCTTTAGTGCATTTAGTGCTGTCAAACATTTGTAAGACTTTCCTTATGAATCATTAACCCTTTCAGTTCTAGACATAATTGTCAATTCATTGAAATTTCAGTAGTGGTTCCTGCTCACACCCGTCAAACTATTCTGGGTTGGCTGAAGTTTTCAATTTTATTTTATTTTTAACATGTACTTGGCATCATGACTGTACATGTTGGAACTAAATAAAAATATGCAGGTTTGTTTAAGTCGTAACTGAGGGAAAAACAACTTTGCTTCCAACCTTTTTTTTTTAAAAGCATCCTATTTAGAGAAGTGGAAGAATGTAAAAATCTTGAAGGACTTCCACAGAATGTTATGTTTACATTTTAACAAATATACATTCTTACATGGAAATGATATCCATATTCCTAATTTT